TTTGTATCTTTTAAATTGTTTGCAAAGAAGCTAAGCTATTTGTGCTGTTGTGCCAGGTAAAACTTCCAATTATCAAATGACATATTAATAAGTTTGAGATTCTATTTGCTTTCAATAGATGTGACATCCAGCTTCATTTCATTTTTCTCTTGTCATTCAGTTAAGTATAATATACATGTTCCAAGCATTAGATCATTGTGTTGTGAGGCCGTTTTCAGAACATACAGAGTTGACAGTGGTGGAGGGTCTCTCATCTGCCTGGCCATCACTCTTCACTGTTCTCAAAGGGCCAGCTCCTTCTGATGTCTTATCCACCTGTGGATGCCAAAACACATACAAACATCATGAGCGTGTACCTGAACAGCCACCCAGATGTGGGATATTTTAGTACAAGCCTGTAAATATCACATATACTGTACATTAATGTAAACAATTGTTGAGATTCATGTTAAAAAATATATCAGCCTCGATGGACACCGCACTTTTTGTCATAATTCATTTTTCCCATGCGGAGCTGGTTTTCTGACCACGACCAGTTCATCACTTGCACTGTGGTGCCAATAAGACATTCTGCCACTTGATAATCACCCACTTCATGCTGCAGTTGATCAGCTGTGTGGAGGTAAGAGAGGTGCCAGGGACTGAACTCTCTTATTTGTCACACTAACATCTAAATGTCCTTCAGGAGAGACCTCTGAAGATGTGCGCCGTCGTCCCAGTTTTGTGTTCTTGTGAACTAGTTGTGACAGAGCTTAAACCATCTCTGAAAGGCTCCTTGTCAGCCTCACGACTCATGTGCCAATGTGAAACTTCAGAGAGAGAAAGGCTGCGTTTTTCGCACTGTGTGGTCAAGTAACAAGCCTCATCTGGCTTGTACGGTTATAAAATTGTTTGTTTACTATAAATAGTTACCTACACATAGAGAGACAGCATCCCAGGTGGCAACATACCTGTCCTGCCTCACAGTGTTTATCGACCTCCGGCAGGCTGGATGGCTGCTCCGAAGCAGCAAAGGCCTGAAACTGACTGAAGTCTGCAAAATTAGGCTGCTGAGGAATCTGTTGGGGGGAGGTGGTGGTGAGCACTGCCACACTTCCTGGCACAGCCTCCGCCTCTACACGATGCCCAGTGTGTGATGCTGACGTCTAGGGAAAGGAGTACAGAGTGGTTCTACACTAGAACACATTGTTGCTGCTTTTAAATGCGACAGATGCGTCTGCCTTACCTGTGTAGGCAGAGGTCGAGGAGGCACAGCGGGCGGGTAAGCCGTCGTTGAGGGTTGAGGTTGTCCTGTGGCGGATGCGGCAGTGAAGGTACGATTCATGTCCAGAGATGAGGAGCGAGAGTGAGAGGGGTGAGGACGAGGGGGAGGAGGAGGGGGGGCTACCACCTTCAGAGCCTCTGGGGACGTGCCTGACTGAGACCTGAACACAAACATTTAACTTTCTGAAGTTATGGATAGGATACAGATCACTACTCAACCGATTTACTGACTTAACAGAACTAAAACGACTACTGACTTTGGATAAGTCAATCTACTGACATTTCTTAGACCAAATGCATACAAATGCCCGCCTGTCACAACTTCACAGAGCCACCCTGATAAAATAATGAAAGGACAGTCACAAACCTTTGTCTTGTGATTGGCTCCTGGTCTGATGTGAAGGAATCTGAACTGCTGTAACCGTCACCTTCATGGAGACAAATAAACACTTGTTTAGAATAATGCCGTGGTCACTAGCCACCCGGTACTCAAACAGAAATATAGTGGCATAACACCGAGTAGTTGGACTTCAGTACTTATATTTTTATGCAGTTTATGATGCAACTGAAAAGGTTTCATCAGTAAAGATAAAATCTTTCAACCTCACAACAGTCCAAAATATCTTGGGACACTTTTAAATGATAGATTAATCTCCGTGTCAAACTATTTTATTTGGTTTAATATTTGGTTTCCTCTGATAGACTGGCGACCTGTCCAGGATGGACCCCGCCTCTCACCCAATGTCAGCTGGGAACGGTTAGTGGTACAGATTATGCATGGATGGATGGATTTCGGGTTGCTTGGAGCTTACTGAAATAAAGTGTTCATTCAGCAGAATGCACTCTTGTACAGCAGGCTTTTCTTTACTCACCTACAGTGTTGGCGGCTACAAACTTCATGGAAGCGGGTAGTTTGGCTTCTTCTGACAGCTCTGGAGGTTTGGCAAGCAGAGGGCTGGTGGGGTTGTGGTCTAAAGGCCAGAGAAATAACAGGGAAGACAAATGTGTAAGTCTCCTGACGCCATCTGTACAGGACATAACAACAACAGCTAGCTGCGCCAATATCAGTTTGACCCAGTAGCTGTTTCAGAAAGTGACAATAAACCTGACCACAAAACCTTTGCACATCATGTTTATGAATACAAAAGCACTTGATTATGTTTAATGACATATTAGTTCAGTTTCTGTTTACTTGGCTTGTCATCACCTTTGTCACTTTGCAAACTCAGCAAGCACAAAGTGTTCTGAAACATGCCCTCACTGACTTCTTCTGTCTTAAATGTGCTGTATGGCTTCTAATGCAGGATTAAATTCATACTGGCTTTAAGTCACTTTCATGTATGATGTTAAATCCCTTACAATGTAATCCATGGCACCAGTCAATGAGCAATGGAAAGGTTGTGTTCTAAGCCTGTTGCTGCACAAACTGATTTAACTTTCATTTACTGTAAGTGATAATGTGGCCAGTCATGAGGCCAGAGGGAGTCTCACCGCTGCTAGTCCTCTTCAGTTCCATCTCCTGCATGTGGATCTTACTGGGCGTCATCCGGATGGCAACTGGGTGGACGATAGCCGTGTCCTGGGGGACAAACAGAAAAAGAGGTAAGAGTTGAGGTGGGCAGATCTATGACAAGCGAGAGAAAAGTCTCACAGAAAGAGATGTGATCTGTGGCCCTCTAAACTCAGCCAGCTTACTATGCTACAGACTTTACATAAAAAAACATAAGATGAGCTTATACAATATGGTGCCATGTTCAATATTAAACTAACAACATAGAATTATCTCCAGTTCAACAAACTACAAGAATAAAATGCTGTTCCAAGCTCAGTTATTGCTGTAAGGATAGGACTCTGTCTGAGGGACAAAAAAACATCACACCAGACTTAGTTTAACAGTAAATGACAAAAGGACCAGACAGTTTTGTTACACAATTTGAAGATTGTCCATATATGAAAAGGTTTATCTGTCAAATCTGCATATGCACTAGTGACTGGTTAATGTAATTGTGGCAACAAGGTGATGTCCAATAGAAGTTAAGGCAGCCAAACAGTCTTCACTGCTGATGCAGTAGTTCGCACTTTAAAAGAACATCATGCACAGAGGGCGACAGAGAGAGAGAGAGAGAGACAGAGAGAGAGAGAGAGAGAAAACGCAAGAGATCCACAGAGGGTTAATGTCTGTCCATTAATAGTGAAACCATGCACACTACGTGATTGACTTACAGGGTCAGCTGGTGCAATGTTAGAGTCAAATTGGGTCAGAGTTTGTGAGCTGGAGGAGCGCTCGCTAAACGTCTCCCACTGCTGCAGGAGACAGACAGACAGTGAGGAAAAAAACACGTCAGTCAGCCAGTGCAGTGACATCACGCATTTACATCATCAGTCTGAGTCATTACTATCTGTAACGTGACATCACCAGCATGGAAACAAAACCGACATGGCTGAGGTTGATACAGAACCACCAGTTTGAGAAGTGAGAGAAGAGTAATTATGTTGGATAATGAAGAGGTTGAAGTGGCAATGAATTCATGGAGGGTGAATAAAGAGAACAAGCAACATCACCTAATTAACCTTGAGAAATTTTTTAGGATGACTCAAATGGAAACAGCAAAAGCAAGCAGACATAAAGCTTACAGTGAGCGTGAAAATACAATAAGTAATCGTGTGTGGTTGGTGGAACCTCATTGCTTTGGTTCATCTCTGGCCAGGCCTGGTTGAGCGAAGGCATGGAGGGAGATTTGTTGGGGGTGACCTCCACCGGGGAGCCAGAGTATCCAACATCAGCAGTCGGCTCTGGAACTTCTGTGTATAAACATTAAAAAAAAAAAATTAAGACAGAATAACCAGATTCCTAATATGCAACAAAATCTAATTATTAGAGCTTTAGTGTACTTTAAACTAGGTGGTTGTGAACTTCATACTGCATTTTCGTGCCTTTGTCTGGTAGTATTTGCAAATTGTTCAGTGTACCTGCTGAGTCATCCAGGTCAATCAGCTTTGGCATCAGGCTCTCAGGCAGCTTCTCAGGGAGGTCGTAGCCGTTCTTCCTGGCCACAACCAGGTGGAAGGCAGCACAGAACTCATCCAGGGTCAGCGCTCCATCTTTATCAAAGTCTGACAGCTCCCTTCAAAACGTGTTAGACATTAATGAGTCTGCAGCTCTGACAAAATGCATTACAATCAAACATTTCAGCAGAGAGCAACTCAAAATGACAGTTCCCTTGCAATCTGACGTTAACTTCCCCCATCGCTTGAAAGGCTGACTTCTGCTTTTGCTAGTTCAGATTTATGGGGAAGAGCATCAGCATGTAAGCAGATGCCTCGCACAGCCAGGTTCACACTCAGTACTGTTATGAGCTAGTAGGTAAGTCATTTATCAAGTAAAAGCCCAATCCGTGCTTTCTAAATGTCAGGAAATAAAGCAGCAACCCACCAAATGTGTGACAGCTCTAAAATGGGTAGTTTTGATTTGGTGAAGAATTCTTTTGCCGCTGAACCTGGAACATACAGAAACAGAATGAAGATGATTAAAACACTGCAGGTTTTTACAGAGAGATTGTTTTGTACTCCATGTGTGTACTTCTTCCCTACCTGGTATGAAGCCAGTGAGGTCTGGCTGGATGGTTTTGAACTGGTTAATGTAGTACTGTCTCTGCTCATCCGTGATCTTCCACGGATCATCGTAGCCGCTGGACTGTCGCTGAATCTCATTGGTTGTTGCTGCTGAGGCCACTGTTCGTATCGTTGTGCTTTCCTGTGGGAAACCATATGGAGCATTTACACAAAACAGCAGAGGAAACTTGACTACTGGGACAGACGGAGGCCCATCATTAGAGCTCATCTTCAGAGCTAAACACCATAACAATTTGACAAATGAAATAACACTGTCTAAAAAAGCAAAAATCACAGCAGTGGTTACCGTGTTATCTCTTTGTTTTTATGTTTGCAGTGTCTGATGGTGCCTTTCTGTCCGATGATGTTTATAATCATTATTAACACAGCCTGTCACAATATTGGGTGTAGTCATTCTCATAATCTGCTAATCTATGAATTACTTCCTGTATCATCTCCTGTACACCGCTGGTGTCTGGCGGCTCTAGTTTCGCTGTGTCTTGATGTTGCCAGCACTAAGCCTGTGTTGCTGCATGACCAGTGTAGCCTGTAGTTCAAATCTATACACTGTGTGGGGATTGCTGACTTGTTTTATTATTAAAAATAAATCCCAAACAAGCAAGATACAAACTTTCATTCATCAAGAAAAACTGTGTTTTTGACCAACTGAGACTGTGACAAAAGCAGAGTGTTGTCCTACCTGGACTGACGAGGGATGCGCTGCAGGGAGCGTGATGGATGGCGGGGTGTCAGCCGTGAAACTGACCCAACTTTCTTGACTTGGCAGAGGTGGCGAGTGGGATGACCACATGCCATCACCTGACACTGGACCTGGGGGGAGGGGGTGAGTGAAGTGTATTTTAACATGCAACAAAACATGCTAAATAATTAAATGCAATACATTTGCAAAATAACAGCAAAAAACAACTTAAGTTTGTGTTTAGAAATCAATAATACTGTATGATGTATTAAACATCAGGGAAGAGTTGAAAATGTCCATCTCAGTTTCTTAGAGGGTGATGTCTTCAAATGTGTGAACTAGAGTCCACAAGCCAACCACATCCTGGATATAATGATATAAAACTGAGACAAGCTGAAAACTGAAGCCATTAGAGAAACAGATGCCAGATAATTTTGGTCTTTATCCAACAATTAATTGCTCATCAGAACAGTTGCTTAGTCATTTGCAGCTGATCAACTAATCGTTGCAGCTCATATCATAACAATGTGACCATACTGCAGCATTGCATTGATTAAGAAGCCACTACTCAGCAGCGGAGGGTCAGTGGCCGTTACCCGTTTGTGGTTCTCTGAACTGCGTCCACACGGCTCCGGTTGCAGCCACCACCTGCTGTCTGTCAGCGTTTCCTCCACTGTGCTGCCGCTTGTGTTTCCTCCAGGGGTGGGGGGAGGTGGGGGGGGACTGGTGAGGGGAGACCACCGGGGATGTTGGTTCGGGCTGCAACAGATGTACAAACAATAATTAAAAATTTAAGATGATTTGACAGCTTTGATTGGCGGCCTGATACCATGGCTCCACCCCTGGTTGATACTGCACAGAATCTGGTTGCAAAATGCATCACAAAAGCAAGATACTGCCCCCGTGTTTGGAATAGTTTTGCAAGGTGGCATGAAATAGTGAAACATCATCCATTTCTATTTACAGTCTTTGAGTAAAACCCTATAATTAAATGTAATCCAATACAACTGTCCTGCAATAAAGTCTACTCTACTGATGCCAACAAGTTATGTTCTGTTGTCAGAGGTGTGAATTCAGTGTACAGTGTGTAAGTCATAGTTAGTGATGATTTTGTACAGCTTGTACTACAGGGTGTCTACAGAGTTTAACAAATTAAATTTAAGACTTTTTAAGACATTTTTAAGACCAACTTATATGAAATTTACGACCAAGCTGGCAATGAAAAAAACAAACAAAAAAAAAATAATTTATATATA